TAAAGTACCCAGACTAACACAGGTATCACTGACATATGGCCTTTGCTGTAGGCCTTAGCTGCTGGGGCTCCCCAGGGCTCCGTCCTGAGTCCCACCTCTCCTCCCTCAGTCCCCTCGTTCATCCCCACTGTCTGAGCACCGGGTCTATGGAGGGATGCCCAAGGCCCAGTGTCTCCTAGGAGATTAGAGTGCTCCTGGGTGTCTACGCCTGAGAGCACCTCTCAGGGACGTGTGCCCATCATCCAGCATGTATGTACTGAGCATGTGACACGTGCCAGGTAAAGCTGACAGAGAGCCCGTCTCTCCTTCCTGCCCAGGACCCCATTGTAGTCATTCTGAACGGTTCCCTCCTCTCGTCCCCACAGCCAGTCGCCTCTAAGGTCTCAGTTCCTGGCACCTGGCACAGGGCCGGCTTGCATAAGTATGGAATGAATGAATGAATGAATGAACGAACATTCCTCAAATCAGGCCACTCTTCTCCCTCCGGCTGCCAGATATGTCATTGCCAGTTTGGCTTGGTTTCTACCCCTAACTACCTACCTACCTGCCGGAAGAAATGTAAACCCTCTCTGAAGAAAGACACGTCAACTCACATCAGGCCTGCAATCATTCACACACAATGTCCAGCACAAAATGCAAACGCTCCAGGTACGCATCCTATCCAGAATATATACAGAATTCCTAAAAACCACTTAGAATAAGGCAGACACACCAAGTTTCAAAAAAAGCAAAAACAAAACAAAACAAAAAGCCCCCAACAAACTCATTGCCATCGAGTCAATGTCAACCCGTGGGGACCCTGTAGCACAGGCTGGACTGACTGCCCCTGGGAGTTTCTGAGACTGTCACTCTTTACCGGAGTCAAAGCCCAGTCTTTCTCCCCAGGAGCAGCCAGTAGTTTTGAACTGCCGACCTTACAGTTAGCAGCCCAGTACATAACCACTACGCTGCCCTCAGGGCTCCTCGAAAGCAAAAGCGGATTCACGAAAGAGATGCAAATGGCCAACAAGCACGGGCACAAGCCGCCATCACGAAATCAGTGTGGCCCTGGGCCACAAACACACGTGCAGGTCACACGAGAACTCAGTATAAAGAAGACTAACTGGGGAAAGATTGAACCTAATGCTCGGGTCAGAACGCTGCTGGTGTGGGCGGTGGCACTGAGACACCAGGGAGGGGAGGGAGGGGAGGGCCCCCGTTACCGCATCTATCTCATTGAGGGCCTTCCACTGCTCATAGGGCACGCCCAGGGCCTCAGCCGTCTGGATGGTCCTCTTCATCTGGCTGGTCCAAACTTTCAGGTCCTTGATGTTCTGGTCACTGATAAACTGGGCCAGACCCTTGGCAAACTGAAAGACACCACAGGCAAATTCAGACCCACGTGTGGGTAACTGGGCTACCCTCAACGGACCCTGATCCTGCACCCCCAGCCAGGGAGCCCATTGGGCCATCCCGCCTTCGGTGACCAACAAGGACTAAGCACCCCACGTGCTGTCCTGTGCCTCTTCCCTAGTCCCCAAACACAGGTCCTCCTAGGGCTCGTCACGCCCCCGGCCCACCCACCTTGGGCCCTGTGCCCGAGGCTGCATGACCTCCCCGCTTGGTCTCCATATCGCCCCTCGCCGAGGCTGAACCAGGAGTCACCCTGTGGGGACTCGGGTCGCTCCTGGGCTGGCAGGCCTTGCCAAGCGAGGGCCTCAGTGAATGTCAAGTCACATGGGACACGAAGGCGGCCCAGGCCTTTGCTTGGTGTTTGGGCACAGCCTCCTAAAGTAGTGGGGATATTCTCAACAGAATCGAGATTGCCCACCTTCCCGCATAGCATCATGGGATTGCACATTAGCTGTGAGAGCTGAAGGCCAGCATTCCTACTTACACACACACACACACACACACAGCCACCCCAAAGACACCACCGCCCTCGTCCCCACTGACCTCTCTGCCCCGGGGGGACAGCCCCGTGTCCCCGCCGATCCGGCCCTTGAGGTTAAGCTCGCTCTCCCCGTGCCGGCAGAGGTAGATGGAGCGGGGAGTCACGTGGATGTTCATGAGGTAATATACAATGCGGCTCTGGATGTGGTCGGCCACCCGGTTCACCACGTAACTCTGGCCCACGTCCATAATCTTGATGTAGGACATATCCCTTTGCGGAGAGGGGGCAGAGAGGCCTGTGAGGCTGGACCGGGCATGTCTGGGCGGCCCCCAGAACCAGGCCCTGCTGCCCAGGGCACCCACACTCCCTTGTCTGTAGAACCTGCATCTTGGACTGCCAGACTTGAGATCACAGAACACAGGCCCATCCGCGCTGTGCGTGCGTGCATGTATGTGAAAGAGAAAGGGAAGGAGGGAGGACTGTGGGGGAGAGACAGGCAAACTAATGCAGCACACGTGACCCAGACAAACTACGAGAGGGGCCGAAGCATCACTGAGCATCACGATTGTGCCTCCAGAAGGTCACAGCCACTGCAGGTGGCAGAGGGTGGGGGGCATCAGACCACACCGTCTCCCATCACACATGCACCCCCACTGTCCTTCTCACTACTTCTGGGCTCTCAACATTTCCTTCTAGCTCTGACCCACCCGAGGGCTGTGACGGCACCCCACGCTTCCTGTTCAGTAGCCCAAGGACCAGTGACCCTCTCCCTAGAGCCCAGCCCAGGTCCTCTGTGTGTGCTAAGCCAGGACAGGTGGACCAGAAGTACAGGAAGATGGCGCTGGTGGCAGCAGTCGAGAAACGCAGTTCAGCCACTGCCTGCCACTTTGGAGGTGCCCTGCTGCAGGGGAGGGGGCATCTCACAGACAGTGGGCTCTGTGGGGCCCCTCACAGACACAATGTGCCAGCCCCTTAGCTGAGCACTCCCGCTGGGCCTGGCCTCTACCCTCCCAGGCCTGCCGGACCCTCCTTCCTGGATGGGGGACCGATGGCCTTAGCAGGGGTGGCCCACTGCTGACCAGCAGAGGTAAGCACAGGGACCTCTTCCCAGATGGCAGGCTGCACGTTTCAAGCCGAGCACTGAGGTTTGTGGGTGCCCATGCAAAGACCCCAAGGTCAGCACTGGATGGATTCTTGGGGTCCCCGTGTGAGGGAGTAGGGGTGCTGCCAGTCCTCCCTGCCCCACGATTCCTGTTCCTGCTCCAAGAGCCCAAGAGGCTGTCTCCCCCTTCTGCGGTGACACCCCCATCCCACCCCATCCCCAGCTGCCACCACAAGCTGTGCTCAAACCTCATTAGGGCTTTCAGAGCTACAGTGGCTCCATCCCTCCCGGGCCCAGGCAAGCATGGGAAGCCGCGTGGGAGCCCCTAGTGCCCTCCCCACTCACCTGCCCAGGTGGCACTCACCTGTCCAGGTCGTCATCCAGCGACTCATAGGAGCTCTCGTAGCACTCGATGCGCCTCATGAAATCCTCTGTGGCCTCATCGCTGTCGCGGTTCACATAGTCGGGGCTGCCCAGTTTCACTTGCTGCCGAAGCCAGACAAGGACAGGGTCACCGACGCATCAAGGTTGGGCAGAGGGGCAGGAGGCTGGGCCGGGGCTGGGGGCCGAAGCCAACATCGTGGTGCGGATTGGCCAGGGGCTGAAGGCTGGGTGAGTCCGGAGGCTACTCTGGGAATCTCAGATTCCAAGTGAAGCAAGCCCCGCAGAGGAGGGGGCGGGGAGGGACTGGTCCCCTTGAGAAGAGTCCAGTGGGGTCTTTCTGCGCCCCTGAGATGGAGCCCCTCGTCTCTGTGGTGCAGGAAGAGGTGAGCTTCCAAGGCAGGGGGCCTGGAAGCCCCTTCCCACCCTCTACTACCTTCCTAAGCTTGGATGGGAGCTCCCTGGACAAATGGCTAACTGGGCGGCGGGGAGAGGCTATGGCATGCTTAAGTCTCTTCCTCGGAGTGGCTGCTCCTGTCCCACTGCCCAGGAGTCTCCGGGAGGAGGTGCGGGGTGGGGGTAACGACCCCCTCCTGGGACACCACCCTCAACACGAGTATTCCTCGGGAGGAACCGGGCTCCCCCGGCCCAGCTATTGAAGTTGTCCGGCATCCCTGCTCCCACTGCTTAAGAAAGTCAAATGAGGGCCAGCCAAGTGCCCAGCGCCACCCGCGTCCCCACTTCAGTCTGACAGTGCCCCCACCAAGAGCAGACACCCCACTCACCACGATGTTGGCCGCTATGACCTCTGGGTCCACGCAGATGGACTCGACAAAAAAAGTCTGTCCCCCGAGGGGTGGGCAGCGGCAGGGAAGGAACCACAGGCAGGTTTAGGGCTCTGGCCTGGGCCCCCCACCCCCTTAGGGCCCCAACGGCCACCCCCAGGCTCACGGAGGCCCTTGTTCTGGGGGGAGCCAAAAAGCTGGCGCCGCCCCCTCCTGGACTCCCCCTCCAGACCTTCCCCCTCACCTCCTCCGCCCAAACCACAGGCAGAAACAAAAGAGTACCCCTTTCGTGCATGCCAGGCCACACACAGGAGCCCCAGCCACCCAGTGGTCTGCTGGCGGGGGGAGGGTCTGGTCTGGTGGGACACCCACAGCTCAAACTCGGCATAGACGTGGGGAGGCCTCACCTTGTAGCCATTCTGTTCCCCAAAATTAAGGATGGTCTCCCTCCGCTCACGGGTAGTATTTGTTGCATCAAAAACCTAGGACCACGACGAAACATACAACATGGCTGTAGTTCTTTAACCATCCCGCCCACCACCACCATCATGACCCCAGTTCTACCTTACAAACCCAGCTAGACCGGAGCATGTGCACTGGTACAGATAAGAGTTCTCAACACAGGGAATCCAGGACAGATAAACCCCTCAGGACCAACAATGAGAGTACCGATACCATGAGGGTAAGGGTAAGGTGGGGGAAGAAAGGGGGAACTGATCAAAATGAACGACATATTAACCCCCTCACCCCAGGGCGATGAACAACAGAAACGTGGTGAAGGGAGACAGTGGATGGTGTAAAATATGAAAATAATAATAATTTATCAAGGGTTCATGATAGTGGGAGGGTGGGGGAGGAAGGAAGAAAATGAAGAGCCGATACCAAGGGCTCAAGTAGAAAGAAAATGTTTTGAAAAGGATGATGGCAACATACGTACAAATGTGCTTGACACAAGGGATGGATGGATGGATTGTGCTAAGAGCTGGAAGAGCTCCCAATAAAAGATTTCAAAAGAAAGAAAAGAGAAAACCTAGGACCAAACTGAGGTTAACTCAGCCCCTGGTTGCAGGGAAGGCAGGAGGCCACCAGGGGACTGAGCAGGGGCATTTCTGGGGACGGGCGTGCTGGCCGGGACCAGCAGCTGTGTAGGCCGCCCCCCAGGCCAACCACCTTCACCCCTGCAAGAGCTGGGCTTGAGAATGAGGACAGCCCCCAGGAGGCTGGGAGGGGCGGGGCCTCTGTTCCTGGGGGAGCACACCCTTAGCACGGGCGAAGGTGCTGGACGTGCAGCAGGCCCTCAGCCACGGCCTGAGCACCAGCCTTTCCGGGTAAACTGGTGCACCGACTGGCAAGCTGGAGCCACGCAGTTCCTCTCCACTCGGGAGGCTCGGGGAGGCGGGGGCGGGAAGAGCAGCAGAGACAGACTGGACCCACAAAGAGGAGAGCAGGGGAGGCCAGGGCAGCAGGTGGGCGGTGCTGAGGGAATTTTTCAAGAAATGAGCATGCTGACTCGGAGAGGAGGAGGGAGTTCCAGGCCATGGCATGGGGCAGCAAAGAGCAGAGGGAGCCCCCGGCCCCTCCGAACCCCACGCAGCCACACATTGACACACCTGGGCTCCTCAGGAAAGGGCCCTGGGCTGGCCTGGCTCCCTCGGGGCAATGAGCCCACCCACCAGCACCACCCACCTTTAAGAGAGAGCATCCAGCCAGGGCTCAGCCCACAGGCCAGCAAAAAAGCTTCTCGCGTGACAAACAGGCCGGACTCAATCCATCAGACAGGAAAAAAGGCACTTGTGGAAAATGGCGACGGGGACCAGGAGCAAAAGATGTCAAAAGACACTTAAAATTGCTCATTTCCAGAGAGACACAAAGGATATAGTAACCATGAGACACGTGTCCCAAACTCAGAACAAGAGCAACGCTGGATAATGAAAAACAGGTTCATGCAAGTGTTTGCTTTTTAAGACAATGTTGAGGAAGTCTCCCAGAAAGTGGGACAAAATAAGATAAAAGATATGAAAAATAAGAGGGGCAGAGGAGATTAAGTTAGGGACCGACTCTGGGGTGCAATCACCAGAAGTTCTAGAAAAAGAGACCCAGAGTGGAATGGGGAATTCGTTATCCAAAAATAGGGGAGGGTCTAAATCATGGATCGTTTATACTATCTGTAAGAGTTCCCAATAAAGTGATTTATGATATAAAAAAGAGGAGGAGGAAGTAGGGGTTGGGGTGTGTGTCAAGAAATACCACCTGGTGGCTGGAGGGCAGGCTCCCTAGTGGAATGACCCAGCCAGGGTTCAGCGTAGGTCCTTGAGGGTCGCTTCTAAAAGCCCCTCCCGGGACAGCCTCCTCCCACCCCCCTCGCTGGCCCACATCTAAGGAAGCTTTGAGGAAGAGCAGAAATCAGAATGACATCAGACTTCTCCACAGCCATGCTAGGACCAAAGAAGACGGTGACAATGCTGTGGGGATTTTCAGGAAGATGAGTTTCTAATGAAGAATTCTACACCCATCACCCCAAAATGCAAAGGTGGTGGGGCGGTAGAGAGAGAGATTTCTAGACATCTAAGGTCTCACACACAAGTTCTGTCTCAGAAAGCTACTGGCGGCTGTGAGCCACCAAACAGGGTGGTTAATGAGGAGCGCGAGCATCGAGGGATCAGGAGCAGGGTGTTCATCCAGGAGGTAAGAGGAGGTGTGAAGACTGTACCCTAGAGCAGCGCTTCTCAACCTGGGGTTTGAACGACCCTTTCACAGGGGTCACCCGATTCATAACAGGAGCAAAATGACAGTGATGAAGTAGCCACGAAAATAGTGTTATGGTTGGTGGGGTCACCACCACATGAGGACCTGTATGAAAGGGTCGGGGACCCCTGCTCCAGAGGGTGTCTAACCCAGCCTGGAGCTGGGAGCCTGATTGCTCCCGGAGCCACAACTCCAAGAGGAGAAAGAGGAGGGGGAGAAAAACTCCTGCGTGGGCCTGCCCGAGGTTGGGGTCCGGTTCGGCCGGCAGGTACCCAGCCCCGCCCGGCCTCCTCCCACACTTCCCACTAACTGCAGGGCCTGACACACAGGTGGAATTCTCTCTCTTGCAGTAGTCCACAGGTTCCCGGAACAACCAACAGCCCGTCACTGCTGGGCGGGGTTCTCCCTCCCCAAGCCAGGAGAAATCCTGCTGACCGGAGCCTTTGGTAACACAATGGCCCCAACTTCTGAGAGGACCCACTCTGAGTATTCAGAGGGGAGCCCTGCAGGTCAAGTGCAACCACAAGCCCCAGACTGGGCTCCTTCTGAGAAGAGCCTTGTGGACACGGGCCGAAGGCTCTCCGGATTCTTGATGAGCAATGGGGGCAGACGAGTGTGGGCACCGTGGTCTGTGCCAGGTGTCACCAGGGTGTCACACTCACCGCCACGTGTCCCCTCTCCTCACTAAGGAACTGGCGGACGTCACCGAGCGCGGCAAGCGCACACTGCCTTCGGGAAAGAAAACACGTCAGCAGGTCAGGGTCACCGGGGCAGCTCGCGGGTCCCCTTCTCGCCTTTCTCTGACGGGAGTCTAGAGGCCTGAATGGTGAGCGCTTCCCCCACTGATGGGAACCCCCCGCCCCCCAAGTCAGGGCAAGGCCAAGTGTTGTCTAGACTATGCATGGATGGTGTGGGCGGGCATGCTGGCCAGAGGGTGATCAGTCACTGAAAAAAATCCTGGGCACTGAATTTCAAATGAGCTTCCCTGCAGGAAACACAACTGGGAAAAGTTATTCCCCACGATGTCCCCCCAAAATAATGCCAAACCTAAGGTGCTGTTTGTAATCACCCAGTCACTGATGATACACTTGGAGGTCAACTGCTTCAAGGTTATCAGCATCTAGAGCAATCAGACCCTATATCTGTCCCACCCTAAGTAGAGCCCCCTCCCTTCTGACAAGGATAATGGATTGTTCCCCTGAAGGAGCGCCCAAAGACTCCTAAGGTCAAGCCAACTCTGGCACGACCAAGGTCAGGCTGCCATCTGGACTCTACAGCTGGCCCATTTTGTTACACTTGTGCCTTCCTGTCACATGCGTGCCCCCTAGTGCCTCCCCTTCCTGTCACATGTGTGCCTCTAGTGCCTCCCCTTCCTGTAGCTGTGGTTACCTGTAATTAGGGGCTTGCACGCCCCCCCCCCCCAAGTGTATAGAAGCCCTGGTTGGAAATACAATCTCTCTCTGCGCAGATCTGGCTCTCAAGGCCAGATGGTCTCTGAGCTTTATCTTGTCTGGTGTCTCTTTAATTTTACTCCTCAATTACACAACTGCCCCTTGGACCTGTTCTACTGTGGAGGCTAGTACCCCACGCTTCCCCAGAGGGCCACACTTCCCATGTGGAAGGGGAAGGAGCCAAGCCCTGCGAGACTCTGGTGGATGCCTGTGCCTGGTTTCCTCTGTCTGGCCTCCTCCACCCCATGCGCCTTGGCCAATTTCGCTTTGCTTCCTTTTGCTGCTGCCAATCTCAGTGGCGAGTCCCACTTTGTGCGAGCCCCACCTGTGAGTCTTCCTAGCAGACCCCTAAACCAACCCCATTGAGGCTCGGGGACCCCTACCTCAACATGCATGAGTGGGCTCATGTGTCTGTCTACAGAGGGGGCATGTGTTGAGCACGCAAGTGTGATCCTGTGTGTGTGTGTGTGGTGTGAGTGTGTGTGTGTGTGTGTGTGTGTGTGTGTGTGGTGACTGCTCATGCATGCATGTCAGTACCAGCATGAGTGCCCACAGACTGCATGTACCTTTGGGTGTCGTGTGATATGTGCAAGGGGGTTTGAGCATGTGTGCGTATGTATGTGCGCCCACAGTGCACATGCAGGAGACAAGCATGTGGCATGCTTACTGTGTGGGCAGGCACGTTGATTGATGCCTGCTGGAGTACTGCACACGTGCCCCTGCAGATGCACACACAACCACGGGCGTGCCCTTCTCTAGAACTTCCAGTGTGGCCACTCTCAGGGAGGTGGAGTTAGCCCTCTCTCCCTGTTCTCCCGTTTAATAAAATGCTGATCCTCTCATTTTGTCAATTACTTATGGAAAACTTGGGGCAGGTTTACAAGGAATAGCCTGTAGCCTCCAGCTTGGGATGCAGGTGCAGGGCAGGTGGGAGGTGGGATAGGGAGGATGCAGCTCTAGGAAGAGAGCCAGGCCCCCAGCTCCCGGGCCCTGGGCCTGGGCCAGCCTACCAACCCTCAGAGAGCCTGAGTGCCCCCATCTGAATGAACGGCTGGCAGGCCCCGGAAACACCAGTGCCCGGTTCTGCCCACAAACAACTTGGATTCTGACACTCAAGCGCTGAGTGAGCCAGACAATCCCAGCGAGCGGAGACCTCTCACGCGGAGACCTCTCACGCCAAGTCAACGCTGGCTCACCCTGTGGGCTTCCGAGCCTGTTGACGGGAGTAGAAAGCCCAGTCTTTCTCCCACGGAGCTGCTGGCGGTTTCGAACCGCCGACCATGGGGGTTCGCAGCCCAACACGTAACCACACCACCCAGAGGGTTCCTTCTTAAAAAGGGCAAGGGAGGATCAGGTGTTAAGCACCCAGCACACTGTCTGAGTTCCACTATCAGTCCCCCTCCCAACAAGTCTGTTCTCCAATCTCACCCCCAACGTGGCTACAAAGTGGCTACCTTCCCTGCCTGCTCCACCCGCATTGCCCAAGAACAAGAAGTCCAGCTAAAGAGTCCAGCCCGTGGTGGGGAGCTCCTGCCCTCTGGTGGTCAGACAGGGAACAAGCCACCTAGTGTCCACCTAGCCTGGTGGCCGGCCTTTGACCTGGTGTACCCTGGCCTGGCAAGGAGTTACTTCACCCAGCACCTGACGCTTGCCAAGAAGAGCAGAGCTCTGGCTCCTCAGACACAGGCTGGGGCTCAGTTCCCCTGGGGAAAGTCTAAGCCAGGGTTTAGCGTGTGCCAACGTACATCTCGTGAAACTCAGCACAAATGTGAACCGCTCACCAGTGGCTGCCCCGAGGCCACCTCGCGGCCCAGCCAGGGCCGATCCCACACACACCAGGCACATGGCAAGCAAACTCCAAATGCACAAGCCCAACCCTGCACCCAAACCCACTGCTGTTAATGGCCGCTCGGAGCGACCGACAGGACTGGGTAGAACGTGCCCCTGGGGTTCCAAGGCTGTCCATCTCACAGAAGCAGCTGGCCACGTCTGTCTCCAGGGGGGTGGCTGGTAGGCTTCCACTACTGACCTTCAGGTTAGCAAGTTAAGTGCTCCCCGAAGCGTACAGGAGAAAGCTTAACCTGGGCAGGGGAGGAAAGGTCCCCAGAGCCTGGCCGGGTCCCTCCGGTTTGGTGAGAAAGTGCCCAGTGCCACCACGGCCCCTACCAGAGGCACGCCCCCCACCAAAGGCCAGTCTCCTGAGTGATCTTCACCCAGCTGGGCCCTGCCATGCCCCAGCCGGGCTTTAGCCCGAGCCTGTCATCTCCTGAAGCTTTGTCCACCCTCCCAAGCTTTCCTCCCATGCCTTCAGCTCACTAGCAGATCAGGGTCAGCCACCGGGAGGGGCATACACATGCTCCCCTTGTCCCCAGCCCCCTGACATCTCCCATCCCATAGCCCAAGGGGTCAGGAGACCGAGCCTGCCACAGCTGTCAAGGGCGGGATAGCTAAGACTCTAATGTCGCTGTCAGCAGCAGCTGGGCTCCAGGGACCTCAGGAAACAGCAGCCACTCATCACCCTTCTAGACACACACACACACACACACACACACACACACACTTACTTCCTGATTCGCAGGCCTTCCTCATTGTCTGGGAGAAAAAACTCGAA